CTGCTGACACACAGAAGTTAAACCCTCAGGTTGCCCTTTCAAAGCTTTGTTTTGGCAGACCTTGCTGTGCTGCAGCATTGTGCTCTCTGGTTAGGGTTAGGGTTAGGGTTAGGGTTAGGGTTAGGATGTTCCCCAGCACACCTCATCCCCAAGCAGCAGCCTTGAGCACAGCACAATGCTGTCCTTGACTATTTCAGAGCAGGAAAACCTTCTCCAGGGCTTTGTGCTTGACCACCAGCACCCCTGGGCTGGGGTCTGCTCTCTCTGCTCCCCCCTGGGCACAGCACATCTCTTCCTCCCGTAGGAAGCTGCACTGCACCAGGAACTCCATCCACATCCACTTCTTCACGTCCTTCATACTGCGTGGGGCTGCCGTGTTCATCAAGGATGCTGTCCTCTTCTCAGATGAGTCCGTTGACCACTGCACCATGTCGACGGTAAGGCACTGAGCCCCGGCACAGCGCAGGAGCGGGCACCGTGCGCTGGTCCAGAGGGGTCTGCCTGCATTTGAGGTGGATTTCACACTGCAACGAGGAGGGAGAGGGAACTTTGGGAGGTTTACAACAACCTCCTTGCGTGGGCCGTGTCTACTTGAACATCTACAGCTCTCAAAGCCCTCCCTGGTCTCAGACAGAGCCTCCCAGTGGGGCCAAAGCTCTGCACAGCCCCAGCAGCACCATGGCCATGCAGAGAGACCTTGCACGTCTGGGTGTGCAAGTTTGGGGGTGTCAGCAGAAACAGAAACGCATGCTTGCACAGCCCAGATGCAACACTGCGGACAGAAGACGTGGGTTTCTAAAGGTCCTACAATAACAGCCTGCAGTCATCTGCCCACAGGTCATCATCCCTGGGGCTGCGCTGAAAGACCATCACAGGTCTCCTCAACTAAATGGATGGGCAGGCTCTGACAGCAGCCCTTCCTCTTCCTCATCCTCACAGGTGAACTGCAAAGCAGCCATCGCCTTCTTCCAGTACTCAGTCCTGGCCAACTTCTACTGGCTGCTGGTGGAGGGCATGTACCTGCAGACCCTGCTGCTGCTCACCTTCACCTCCGACAAGAGCTACATCTGGTGGTACATCCTCATCGGCTGGGGTGAGCGTGGGGCACCCCCACCAGCAAGGTCCCATTGACACAAACTGGGGATAGGCGCCACTTTTGGGGATTGCCTGCCCCGGGACCAGAGATTCACAGGTTTGATGGTCCCCAAGGCTGCTCGCAGAGTGTTCCCCTGTCCCAGCATCTGGAGCACTCACCAGCTCCTGCATCTGCTGCCAACCCTTGCTGAACATGGCCAGGTTGGGACAGGGACAGGTCCTTCCTTCTTCCCACACCCATCTGGGGCTGGAAATTCCCATCCCGGGTGGCTGGGTCAGATGTAAGAGCACAGAGGGTGACAGGAGGGTGGCCAGGAGGTGACACACAGGCAAACACATCACCATCAGTGGGCACCAACTCCTTGTAAAACCTGGAGATGCAGGAAATGCTGTCACCTTCCTGTCACATCCAGGGCACCAGACCTGACCCAGGCACGTGTTTTTGGGGACAAGGGATGGAGGGGAGGTACAGGGGGCTCCCCAGAGCCCCAGGGTGACTCTGCACCCCTGCCTGGGTCCTGTCCCTGCAGGTGTCCCCATGCTGATGGTCTGCATCTGGGTGGTCACCAGGCTGCAGTACGACAACCACGGGTAAGAGCAGCCTTTCCTCTTCCTTCTCCAGGTGTCTCCCGTGCTAGTCCTGGGGGATGCACCTCTTGGATGGGAGGCTCAGGAGGGGAGAACTGTGGAAGCACTTCATTTTAATGCTATTTCTGTTTTCTGGTGGGGCCCCGTTGCAAGTGGTGCTGTGCAAATGGGGCTGAAGGGGGAGTGGCAGGGCAAGACCTGGGCTAAAAGGGTGCAAGTGGGTGGCAGAGACAGTTCTCCCCTCCCATAGGTGCTGGGACGACTATACCAGTCTCTACTGGTGGGTGATCAAGGCTCCCATCCTCTTGGCCATATTTGTGAGTATGGCCCCTGAGCATCCTGGCCCCAGAGCCAGGGGTCCCACATGGATGGGGGGACCCGACCAGGGGCCTGTGCAGAGCCTGAGACACAGCTTCCCATGGCAGGTGAACTTCCTCATCTTCCTCAACGTCACCAGGATGTTAGCGCACAAGATCCGCTCCCCGGACATCAGCAAAAACTACAAGCAGCAGTACATGTAAGGGCTAGCTGGGGCAAGGGAGAGCTCCCCTCACCCCCGTTTCTGGGGGGATGTGGGGCAGCAGGGACCCTTCCCTGGAGGAGCCCAGAGGAGGACCATCCTTGGAGCCTCCAAGACCTGTCTTTCATGGAAAAACTACTTTGGGTTAAGAGCAAGCTCTCGGGAAGGGCTCATCTCACAGGGCAGCAGAACCATTGCCCACACTCGTGCCCCCACTCTCTGCAGGAGGCTGACCAAGTCCACGCTGCTCCTCATCCCTCTCTTCGGGGTCCACTACGTGGTGTTCGCGCTCTTCCCTGAGCACATCGGCGTGGATGCCCGGCTGTACTTTGAGCTGGTCCTCGGCTCCTACCAGGTACAGGCTGGGGGAGATGGGTAGGCAAAACCCCCATGTGCCCACCCTGTCCCTTCCCAAAATCACACCAGGAGACCCTGGGATGTGCTGCTGGGGCTCTGCACTCTTTGTGGAGAGGACTGTGTCCCAAGCACCCCTCTAGCAGCAAGCACAAGGGCTACGGTCTGGTGAACAACCTGTGCTGATCCCATAGCCCTGCTGCCCATGGGAAGGGGCAAGAGGTGTGGGAGGATGTTGAATGCAAGCAGCAGATGAACACAGAGGGATCCAGCCCCTTTCCTTGGGTGAAATTTGCTCTTTCTGTCCTTTTCAGGGGTTTCTGGTGGCTCTGCTGTACTGCTTCCTCAATGGAGAGGTGCGTCCCCCCAACACCAACCCCTTGGGCACCACAGCCACACATATGGGTGTGCAGACACCCCCGGGGTGCACCCCAACGAGCATTGCATGCACGCAACCATGCATGGGTACACACATGGGCATGCAGACATGCATGGGGGTCCCTGCCCTCTTGCACCCCAAATCCCTTGTCAAGCCCAGGGTGCAACTCCTGCTCCTCTGCTGGGTGCTGATGGGTGCCCCTGGGTGCCAGCACCGGTCTGTGGTGTTGGTTCAGGTCCAGGCTGAGATCAAGAGGAACTGGGGCAAGTGGCAGTCGTCCATGGAGAGCAACGTCTTCAACCTGGTGACCCAAGACTTCACTGCATGATGAGGATGGCGTTCAGGGTGGAAATACCACCCCGAGGAGAGTGGTGATGGGGCAGCCCCACAGCTACCATCCCAGAAACACATTAAAAGGGGTTTTGTAAGTTCTGGGTCTGGCATCCTCACAGGGGGGTGTGAACAGCCATTGGGAAAGGCTCTGCCTGCTCCATGGTGGTGTCTCTTCTGCCCAAAGCTCCCTTCATGGGCTGGTCAGTGTTTCAGGCAAAGGGAAGAGAGCTTCTCCACCTTTTCCACCCCAGGACTGGGTAGGAAACACGAATATCATTTAACAAAGAACATCTGGCATTTTTCACTTGGCACCGGAGTGAAAACTGAAGTGGCCCCAACGCTGAGGGGTTTTTTTCCCCTCTTTGTCAGGAGCCATTGCCAGAAGCAAATACAGAGACAGACCAAAACCAGCAGCTCTCTACATGAGAGCCCTGATGGCCCATCTGCACTGGGGACTCGTTTGCCTGGAATTAGAGAGGATTTTGCCAATAAAATCTTGCTCAGAAACCCAGCACCACTATTCAGAGGTTTAGTTTGCTCTACAAACCCAGATAACTTGGTACCAGGCTTGCTAGAGGGTGGAAACCCTGCCAGTGTCTGTGATGCCTGGAAATGCTCCTCGGGTGACAAATACCTGCTTTTTCCCTGCCTGGTGAAGCAGCCAGACAATGGGCACGACCATGGGGAGGAGATGGAGGAGGAAGATGAGGAAGAGCGAAAGATGGGTGCATCACGGACTGTCCCAGAGGTGCTGTGTCCCCTCTGGGTCGGAGCTGTCACCACCATGCCACAGCCTGTCCCATTCACCCCCACGAGCATCCTTCATCCTCCTTGGGCTGAGCCCCTGCCTCAGCAAACGATGTCTCCAGGAGTGAGAAAGGCCTCAGATGTCCTTTCCCCAAACCTCCCGGCCTCTCCCTGTGCTGTGTTCCCAAGACCTGAGGTATCTGATCCCAGCAGAGCTCCTCGCACTTCCTGGCTCGTAATTTTTCCATGTAGCCACATGTCGTTCCTTAAACAAAACCCACGTCCTGGCCCTTTTCCAGGCTGCAGGATCTCCAGAGATCCTGTCTGGTCTCACAAAGAGACGTTGAGGGGGAAATAGAGGACCCAGACTTGACTTGAGGTGAGGCGGAAGATGCTTCATTAAATAACCCCCCCGGGCCACCAACATCCTGCATTGCCAACCAAGAAACCTCCAGAGGAGCATGGCAGCTGCCAGATAAATGCCTGCCTGGAAGAAATCCAAGGTGAATAAACATCTCCTTCCATCATTAGCGAGGAAGATGCTGTTTCGGCAGGAATGTGAAGCAGACAGGAGCAGCAGATTGCGCCGGGGATGGGGATGGGAATGGGAACATCACAGTTGCCATAAAGCTTTGAAAAGTGCTGGGTTTTCCGTGTGCTTTCAGCTGCAAATGGTGCTAAACCTGCATCCCAGATGTCCCCATGGGCTTCGACCCCCTGTTTTCCTTGGTACACGGCAGAGGTTGGAAAGCCAAGACCCCACTGTGGGTCCAGGAAGGCTGATGTGCCACCGCCGCGGGGACTGCACATCACCTTCAGGTTGCAGGAAAAGCATTCAAAACGTCTTTCTGCACCTCTATCATGGACCGTGCCCTTCAGCTGTATATTTGGAGCAGCTGAGCCTGGGCAGAGCAGCGCCAGGCTTGCCCCGTCTCCCCTCCATCGGGGATTGGGGTGCCCAAATAGCCTGGCATCCCCGTCCGCACCCTGCCCTGGGGGTCCCAGGGGTGTCTGGGAGATGCAGGGGGGGTGTTTTGCCTGGGGCCGGTGGGTGGCACTGTGGCCCCGCAACGCTGCCACGGGCGCTGACATCGGATCCCGGGTGTCAGCCCTGGGCTGCACAGTGTCCCCGCACACAGCGCCCTGGACACGGGCTCAGCCGGCGGGGAGGGACCCCGACACGTCCTGGGGGGCTGCCGGCCGCTTGCCCTGGGTGCCTGCACCCAGTGACTGTGCCCCGGGGTCCTGAGAGCACCCAGGGAGGAAGGTAAGGGGCCACACCGCTTCGGGGGAGCGTGCCCCGAGCCCCGCAAGTGTCCTAAGGCTTCAGCAAGAGCTGGGACCCCCCCAGGGTCCCCTTCCGCGCTCCTGGCCAGGTGAGGGTTAACCAGCGATGGGGACGGGGGCCTTTGCCTGTTGCTTCTTCCCCTGCCTGCATCCCCTGCTCCCTCTGGGGCTGCCGGGACACCCTGCTTGAGTGCCGGGGGTGCCCCCAGTGCCAGTGCCTGCACCGCTCCTTCATCCCTGCGCCGGGATGCGCCCGGCTCTGCGGCTCGGGGACTTCACCCTGCAAACGCCCCTTCCCCGCACTCCGGCTCGCTGGGTCAGCTTGTTCCGCCCTGCACCGTCTCTGCCCAGCTCCTGCTTGCACAGACAGACCGGTCCCAATGGGTCAGAGCTTGGCCCCACAGAGCCCCCATGGATGCAGCCAGTCCCACAGCAGGGAAAGGGTCAGGACCAGCAGCTTCAGGGGAAGGTGCAAGCCAAGGCACCTCGAACACCCCAGGGCCCCACAGGCTGTGCCCTCATCCCCCGCTGTCACCCCAGAAACATGGTTTTTACACCCACATTAGTGTTGCAAGTACCCCTGGGTACCCCGGACTCCCATTCTGGTTGGGATTTAGCTGGTTTTCTCAGCAAAGCTGTGCCCAGATGGGCACCCCAGGATGCCCCCAACTTCCCGAAGGGCAGGAGCCACATCCCAGGCTACTGGCAAAGCAAAAAAGGACCAGCACAGCTTGCACAGGCTCCCCAACGGCGACAAGGCTGGGTTGGGGCAGCTGGCAGCTGATGGGACCTGCTGGGCATCCCCTGAATTTCCTGCTGTGACCAACGGAGCGGGTGGAAAATCCCCACAGCCACAGCAGGAGAACGTCCCTGTCCCTGCCCTCCTGGCCAGCCAAAACCACCGACCACAAACCGCACTGGGGATGGATGCTCTTTGTGGGTACGGGCCGTGCTGCTGTGCTTCCAGTGCTCTCTGCCCTGTGCCGGTTGTAGCAATCCCTTGGCTTTAGCACTCTGAGCCCAGCCTGGGCCCCAAGTCAGCAAGAAGAGCCTCAAGGCCGTGTTTTAGATGAAGAAATCAAATTCGTGCTTTCCAAAGCACTTCTCCCATCAGAGCTGATCCTTTGTTCCGCACTGTGCCAACCTCTTCCTTGAGAGCTGAACTCCATCTCCCGAGCTGCCGTACTTGAATGGAAAGGGAAAATGATCGAGCGAAAAGCAGAATCGAGCCAAGGAACTTTGCTTCCCAGCTCCCTGGTCTTGACCCTGGGTTTATTGAGAGCTTGGGATGTCAGCGAGCGCAAGGAGCCCCCTGAGAGAGGGGCTGGCGGCAGGGAAAGCCAAATTGCCATGGGAAGGCACTGGCAAGGGACGCCAGGCTGCGCAGAGCAGGTGCTTCAGCTCCAGCAAAGCCAAAACCAGCATGGGAAAGTTGCTCCAGGATATTTTGGGACCGGACAAGCACCAGAAATGTAGCGTGGATCTGGCAGCGCTGGAGAGATGATGAGTCCCCTCTGACCGGGCTGCTGTGCTGGAGCGCTTCGTCCACCCCCAGTGCATCCCAAAAGGAGTGAGTCTTGCAAACTGGGCACCCCTCTGCACTCTCCTCCCAGCTCTGAGTACCCTCTGTGCACCCTGCGCACCTGGGCATGCAAAGAGCACCCAAAGGTCCCATCAGGAAGGTCAAGAGGGGAGACAACCTCATGGCCATCTCCCTTTTGCACCATCCCCTGCCACCCTGGCCTGGCTCAGACCCATGGGCAGGGTGTGTGGCCAGGGACATGGGGTGAGAGGTGCCACTGTCACAGTGGGGTGACCCTGCACGGCTGCTGCCCATCGGATGCTCCTGGCGTGCAAAGAAACACACGGCTGGCGCAAAATGAGGCAGCAGCACAGGGTGGGCATGGGGGGAACGGAGCAGAAGGGATGGATGCCCCTCGCTTGCACGCAAGAGCAGGAGCTGTGGCCAGTGCTGGGTGCTGCACGACAGGAATAACGCTCCCAAAGAGCCACCGGCTCGGAGGTGATGTTGGCAGTGGGATTGGCACCGTTTCCCCCCTCCCCGCCCATGCAGTTGTCCCACTGCTCTTTCCAATTGCATGTCACTGGTGGGACCGATACACTGGGAGGTGCTGGCCAGGGTCCCTTGCCACCTCCCCTCCACTCCCCACGGCCCATTTGGTGCCAAAGCCAGCCCGAAACCA